TATGCTTCCTGAGGAAGTATTCCCAACAACATAAATAATCTCCAAAAGTTCAAAAAAAACTCCAATACCTACCTCCTGTCCCTATCCTCCCTAGTAACGCACGATGTTCTTTGAACATTATAGGGATTTCCTTTCGTGCGCTCCAAGCAATAAAAAAAAATAGGGCACCCTGAAGACGGTTTTTCCTGGATATTTCCGAAACCGTTCATAGAAAAATCATGAAATTTGGTATATCGCATGAACTTTCAATGCTGAATTAGAATTTGAGCACGAAACAACGAAATTTCAATCAGGAGGAAACAAATGCACTTTCTATGGTATTTTTTTATATACTTTTTCAATTTCTGTTTTCAAAAAATGATATCTGAAGCTTTTTTACATCAAAAAGGTACTTCTATTTTTATAGGGCTAGTAGTTTTTGAGAAAATCGCAGTTTTTCCCCATCTTTGAGGAAGAACTGCATGTATTTTTCACTCGATTTTCCATCTTTTACCCCAAAACATGAATTTAGTATGCTACTACCAAGTTCTCAATTTCGTAATCAAATCACAGAATTAAATTGACAGAAATTTGATTGCTTTGAAAGGTTTCCTTTGCAACGCATCAGGTCTAATGGATGCTATAAGTACAACAACCTACCAAATAAAACCTTCCAATTTCACATCGATAGTTTTCTGATTTCAATATACTCATTGTGATATTTTTTCACAGAAAAAAATAGTGTATTATACACGGTAAAAATATTAGATTAATCCTTGATCTTGGGCTCGACTTTAGATGGCTATAACCCTTAGGGCTGGTTATATCTGGAACCATGTTTATGAAATAGTAATTTTCCTAACAAGTGCGGAAAGTGATACTTTCCCGCATGAGTTAGGAACAATATTTTTCTACAAGCGCCGTAGGAAATCGATTGTTTTGTTCAATCAATTATTCCTGCAAATAGGAACAACTAACAATCAATCAATCAATCAATCAATAGTAATATATTCTCTATCTTCTAGATAGATAATTAGTGATATATCTTTTGTGTGTACCGTTTAAAGCATTATGTAGGCAAGCTTATTGCGGAAGTCAGAATGCCCATGGTGTTTGGCCTCTAGGTTTCAGACATTTCTAGGAAATGAGTCAAAAATACTTCTTCTTTATTTGGCGTTTTCACTTTTTTACTATCGCAACATTCAATAAATCCCTAGTCGTGCTTTTCATTCCATTCTCAAGACTTCGTTGGCAATAACTCATCTGTATCGCATATGTAGCTGGAAGTTTTTCATTGCAATTCCACTGAATCGAAAATGACAGTAATGCTCTGTCTGTCACTCTGAGAATTACACTAACTTATTTGTGTTTTGATTGACATGACAACAATTGTATCCTACATCAGATCAATTAAAGGCTACATGGGATTTATATAACAACCAATTATTATTTTTCAATATTTCTTCATTTTTACAATAGATAGTGCAATTTGGTGGATGATTGTGTACAAACTTACTGAATACTGCAACAAAAATCCTGAATTTTTCATATTGTGTCACCCACCATTTTTATTTTGCGAGAATATTAAATGAATGTTTTTTCCGCACTTCTGCGGGAAAATAGTTATTTGTTAAACTAGGCAGCAAAGTAGTAGATTGACTGCCGTGGCTGAATTCATAGCCGAGCGTAGCGAGGCTAGGAATCCAGCTAAGGCAGTCAATCTAATTTGCTGCCGAGTTGAACATATAATTTTTTCTCCGATTGTTCATAATGATATGGAAGAATGTTGTATTTGCGAATTAATACAATTCCCACAATCTCTTTGATCTTCCTGTATAGTGTTCAATTAAAATGAAATTTGATAGAAATCGCAGTTGTTGGTTTGACAATTCATGAAATTTCTGACAGTTGTGCGAAAAAATATCGGTATATTTAAATTATTATATAATGGACAGTGATAGCGACACCTCCATTAATAAGGGAGGTGGCAAAAAATATAGAGTTGAATTTGTTGCCGGAGAAGTCTCGGATGAGATATGAAGGAAATTATAAACGATTTATGGATTTTTAATTTTGCTGATACATATCAATCAGCAAAGTAATCACTTTGCTGCCTAGGCAGCAAAATACCCACTTTGCTGCCTAGGCAGGAAAAATAATACTTTGCTGATTGATATGTGTCAGCAAAATTAATATTTGCTGCCAATCGGAGGGAAAGATACTTCCCAAACTAAATTGCGTGCGGGTATAGGGTGAATCACGCACGCGCTTGTAGAAAAACCTTTTTTACTATTGTTGTTCCTAAATTCTGCAGTTGAAAGTTTTCGACGTAATTTCGGGACACCCTGTATATGTATACATATTCGAGTGATGGTACGCTGGTCGTTTCCTAAACTAGACATCAGGCGACAGGAAATCGAATGGCCAGCGCGTTCCGATAGACAGGATGTACACCTATAATAGTGGTTGGCCAGGTATTTTGTGACGTTCGATTGTTCACCATCAAGATAAACTGTGGCCCCTGTGCCTCTCTATATAAACTCTTCAGTGTATCATATTATTCGTTCACCCCAATAGTTATTAATTATTTTCAATTATTTTTATAATTAGGTATTTCCAATATTTGACAGATTTTATTCAATATTATGTGGTATTAGCCAGGAAAGTACCAAGGTATAGATCATTTGCTTGAATAGAGCAACGAAATATGTGAGATCAATGAAATATTTCGTTCATTCAACATCGAGTTAAATTTGCGCCACTAGATGGCGATCTTTTCGCCTCGTCTATGCCTGCCACGAATTCATTATATACGTGAAGCCTGATTCTTCCTGTTTGAAATATCAGCTGAATAAATCGAACTTATAATGCTAAGCAACGGAATAGCCTTGCATCAGCTGAAGTCGCCGAGTTTCCTAGTTTAGTTTTTTATTCTATCGATGTGAAATTCACGAAAATTCAATACTGAATTTGGTTCAACAAAACACTTTATCGAATTGAAATAGTTTCTCATGAATCAACCCAATATTTCATTGAACCAACCAAATATTTCATTGAATCGAACTAAATATTTAATTGAATCAACTCAATATTTGATTGAATCAATATCTCGTCATTTTGAATCAAACAAAATGATTGTTTGAACCAATTCAATATCTCTTCATGAACAATAATTAATGGATTTGAATGATTGAATAAGATCCAGAGTTCATGCGACTCATGCAAGAAATATTAACTTGATTCAAGCTTCAAATTCGCTCTGAAAAAAGATATAGATTCACTCATCTCAAGATCATATTTTGTCGTGCATATATGACACTTATAGCTGATGCCTTATTCAATTAAATGTTGCTTGATACAACTATTCCTTTTTTTTCAGTGAATGTTTTCTGTTAGGCGCCCTAGAAGTGGTTCAAATTCCACTTTAAGCTGTAGGTCCCGCTTTTTCTAACCCCGGCCAAGTTTCGACTTCTGGGGAGTTAGTTTCAATATATACAATGATGAATTTGCTTGATTGAATAAGATCAAGAGTTCATGCGAGAAATATTTACTTGATTCAAAGTTCGCTTTGAAACAAGATAGAGATTCACTAATTTCAAGGTTATATTTTGTTGTGCATATATGACACTTATAACTGATGCTTCATTCAATTAAATGTTGCTTGATCCAACTATTCCTTTTCTTCAGTGGATGTTTTCTGTTAGGCGCCCTAGAAGTGGTTCAAATTTCACTGTAAGCTGTAGGTCCCGCTTTTTCTAACCCCGGCCAAGTTTCGACTTCTGGGGAGTTTTCAATATATACAAATTTGAAATATTTTTTAAAACCCTGTTGTTACCAATAAATAACAAAAAAGACAGGCACATCAAAACAACATTAATGTTTGATCACATCGATTGTCATAAATCAATACAGGGTATCGCTGAAAGGTCATAAAAATGGGGCAATTAAACCAATATCATGTTCATGATATAATTCTGTGGACGCAAAACTAGATTTTTTTCAATACATAATCATCTGGAACCTCTACGCCAATCTTTACAATAGTTATTTATTGTATAACTATTCAATAACATTTTATTCGCGCATTAATGTTTGAAGTCTTCTCCATTTCTATGAAGTTTTTAGTGTTACCAACATTATATTCACACTTTTTTGCATAAAAAAATTGATAGTGATGTTGAAAAAATGTTGCGAGATGGTTTGAAACCGAACGTTTGTGAAAAATATTGCATAAAAGTTGATTCAACAAAAAAAGACCATTTACTATTGTATCCAATAACCATCATAATACGATAAAAACACGTTTTTCATCAACAATATAGTACACGTTAATATTTGAGGCTTCCCTCGAGGCTTCCTAATTTTGTGCAGATTGCTGACAGATATGTCGAATCAATTAAAACAAAGCATCCACCTCAAACTGAACAGTCCTCAAAGGGTTTTACTTCTCCTTCTAGAATCAACAAAAAAATTCCACTATCTGAAAACATTACACAGGGAGCAGGAACAAATGCAGTAATTCAAAATTCAACACCCTAAATATTTTCTCGCCATTGAAAAAACCATTTGAAGAGCTTTCCGAGAATGACCCCTCTTAATAAAGGGTGTCTCAAGACTTTTAGGACAGGGAAATTCAGGAAATTGAAATTTTGGGGTTATGAATTTAAGCACTTGTTGCAGCTTTTTCCTCCCGATGTAACTATTCCAACAAACTTATCACTTTTGTGCTCTTGAACGATTGATTCAAGAACTACAGAGTGTCTCTGTATTTTTTTGGCCCCTACATACCGCTTCAACTATACGAGGTGGAAAAAAACTTCAAATATGAAAATTATACGGTTTCATCTGTTCTATCTTTTGGCACTTCTAAAATAAACAAATGCGAGTCACAAAATAGAAGAAAAGAGTCCAAACCAGTTTTTTCAATCAAAATACCGCATTTTTCATTTATTTCTTTTTAGATCTGATTTTTCCATGATCTTTCTTTCATTTCATCGAAAATAAAAATTAAGCGGACTTACCTCTTCCGCAACCTCTTTCACATCGCCGTTCTTATCGCTGTCTTTGCTGGGCTTCTGCTTGTCCTTTTTCGAGAACGATATGCTCCTGAACGACCACTTCTTCTTCTTGTTCTTCTCTTTCTGTTTTTTCGTTTCCGGCGTATCTTCTATCTTCGTCTCGTTCCCACTTTCTGGCGTCTTTTCGGTCACGTTCTCCTCGGATTGTTCGGCGTCCGGCGTTTTTGCGTCTTCCGATTCTGACAGGCCGTTTTCCTTCACTTCTTCTTTCGTGTCTTTTTCGGCGGCTGCGTCTTTCTCGTTTTCATCTTTTTCCTGAAAAAAAAAACATAGATATTTTTGTATCTAGATCGCGAAATGCTGCTTTGGTGATCGAGATCTGATTTTTTTAACGAGGCGTAGCCGAGTAAAGAAAATAGTCGAGATGACCAGAGTATTTCGCGCTCGAATTGCAAACAGAATTTTTTCTACAAACGTCAAAAAATATAGTTCTGAAGTAAAAATATGCTTATCTCGATATAAAAAATAGTGTTGAACTGGCTTAAATGGCCTCCCCCTATCCTCCCTAGGTAAGCACGATGTTCCACGAACATAATAGGAATTTTCTTTCGTGTGCTCCAAGAGATATAACAGAGTTAATGTTAAACATTCAGAAATGAATGATTGTTTGGTCGATTGAGGAGCATATAGTGGAAAAATTAATATTATTATCTCATATATTTTATACATAACAATGCGCGAAGTACCTACTTCGCGCATTATATTACTTCACGCATTGTTTTGTGCAAGGTATCATGGTAACGTAGGGAACTGTGAAAAAAGTGTCATTTCGCAATTTGTTATCAATGCGCGAACCTTGTCATTTTTTGACGTTTATAGAAAAAACATAATTCAATTCGACATGTTTTCGGGAACGAAAATTGGGTGAATCCTGAATTGAACGAATCGAAAATTGGGTGAATTAAAGATTGGGCACATCGAAATATGTACCATACCACACCAAAATTAAGATTTTTTACCACCCTGTATCTGTTTCAATTGATTATCAGTTGATAGTACATGAAAAGTTAAAATAGGGACATGGAAACCGTTTTTACCAATTATGAATAGTTTCGACACAAAAAAAAATTTAAGTTGAAAAATCTCGATTTTTCACAACGTATATCTCTGTAATTGTCACTGCTAGACCCCAAGTGTTATAGGTCAACGAAATCAGCTCTTCATGGAGAATCTGAAAACGGAATGATATACAGGGTGTCCCATTGAAAAATCAAAGTTGCTGCTACTTTTCAATATAAGCGGCAACGTCGCAACGCTGAGAATATTTTAGGTCGATAGACTACAAATAATTATCCAAGGCACCAAATTTTCAGAATAATCCTGAGTTGCTTTCTCCAGAGACGCTTAATGTGCCATCCACCGAGAATCACCCTGTATAGTAGGCAGACAAAATCATAAAAAACAAGTTGATGCAGTGCTAACATAAATTAAAATAAGCACCCAATCGATAAAAAAAAATACTATAGGTAAAAGTGCACTTATCATGCGATGGGGTGTTTTTCGAAGATTTTTTTTGGTACTTACGTATTTTCGTCTGAAAACACGAATTTCATAATGAAAATGTGAACAAACCACTAGTTATCGGGATAGATATTTTAAGAAAAAGTTTGAAATTTTGCCTTCTTTTCCCCTTTGTGTTGGATGCATTTACAGGTACTTGCTCTTATTATTTTGTCATTGGACACTTTATATACCCATGATGTACTTCACTGACACATTTTAGGATAGAAAATTCAACAGGAAATATGATTTTTATGGCGAGTTTTTCCTATTTAGTGAGCAAGCATACCAGATGACGGCCATTTAATCCATATGCAATCCAAATACGAGATGTCAAATGTCAATAGATTGCTTTGGAATGACATTACACACGCCATTATTTCAAATGATATTCTTCCTTCTTTTCACTAAACATGGATAAATCACAAGAAAATCATATTTCTAGTTGACTCATATAATAAAAAAAATGTGTTCCAATGATGGAAAAAGAAGGGCAAATTGTTCTAAATGTGATTCAGAAGACAGGCGGAAAAGATGGTGAAATTTGTAACTTTATAGTGAAATATCTTAATAAATAATGGTTTGTTCACATTTTCATTATGAAATTCTTGTTTTTCAGACGAAAATACGTGGGTATCGAAAAATAATTTCGAAAAAAACCCAACGCATGATAAGTGTACTTTTACCATACTATAATATGATAACGAGATCAGCTCATTTAATGAAATGTGATGAAAAAGATAAATTTTATGTTACAAGTCGTCGGAAATTCGAAAACCAAGCGTGTGGAAAATGTAACCAGTAGTCAACACCCAATTAAACAGAAGAACAACAGTCGTCTCATGAATCCATAATCAATATACAGGTTGTCCGAAAAGTCTCAGGATCGTGAAATATCTCGAAAAAACAAAACGAACATGTGTTCGATGGTTCTAAAAATGATTCTCATTTCACAGTAAAAACTACGTATTAGCCTTGATTATAATAGAGAGTTGAAGTAATCACTGTACGTAGACCTCCACGTAGACGTTAACGTACGAAAAATAACGTTTACGTATTGTCGTTAAATTGAGTTGAAGTCGCCACTTTGGTCGTCACTGTCATCATAACGTGATATGTAATACATTTTGTTTTCGGTTTGTATTGGTCATTTTTTGTTGTGTGTTTAGATTCGAACATTTATTCCTGTCAAAATTAGAATACTCCTTGATGCAGAACTCGTTGGTGATCTCGAATTTGATAATTTTGACTCATCGGCATATTTCGAGTATAGTTTGGTTAACGTACGTTGATATTTAAGGTATACGTGAAGGAACGTGAGATAACGTACACCCGTAAGCCCACTAACAACGCAAACGTGAAGAATTGGAAAATGCGCATGCGTAGCTGTCAATTTCTACGTTTACGTTAACGTTCATGACAACACTTCAACTCTCTAATATACACTTATAAGTTTTATTTGATACACTATCTTAGATTCATGATAGATGGCGCTGTAGTTTTCCACAGTATAATATTATCTCGCTGAATAGAAACACTGTTATATAGGATTTCGTCACAATAGAACTTATACAGGATGGAGTTCAGGTTATTGTCCCATGACCAGGGTCAAGGTTCGGTAGCGTTCTATTGTTTTAATTACAGACGTCTGAAATATGCCGGGTTGCTGCGATTAACGGAATTAATATTAAATGTCAAGTTTTTCCATTGATGACCGAATTATGAGCTCGAAATTTCCCGTTTTAACGTTTCTTGTTATTCGCTGCATCCGGAAGGTCGTTAATTCCGCATGAATTCTATTATTCTATTCATTCAACTCAATTTTTGAAATCCGTTCAGATCTCTCTTTCATAATGAAATAATCTACACATTCTTGCTTTTGAATCAGACAAATTCGGTGGTTTAATGAACTGTCTATCATTATCAATTTCTAAAGATTTTTGGGATTTTCTCACCTCGTCTTTATAATTAAAAATATCAGTATTAATTTCGATTACTTCAATCATGAACTGCTCAGCATTCGAAACGTAAAATCGAAATTTTTCGATCAATTCTGATATCGACTCTATACAGGGTGTTCCTTAATGATATGCTATAATATTCAAGGGGCTGATTCTTCGACCCATTTCAAAAATAAAACTTCATATGAACGTATGTCGTAAACGTACTAACTTTTGAGATACAGAGTTTCAATGTTGAAAATATGCATAGATTATTTTTTTGTTCACCCTGTACATAGCATTTCGTGATGGCAAAATTCAGTCTGCTATGTGACTGAATCGGTATACAAATTTCAAAATGTTACACACTGTGGTTATCCAGTAATAGATGTCCTGAATGCAGTACTCAGACATCAAAATTTCAAGTCTGGTCTCGTGTCTCGTTTTTCCGTTTTTTCTCGAAAACGTAGCGTATTATCGAGTATCAACAAAAGGAACTCTTGATCTTTGATATCCATCTTGAGTCGATTCTGATCTTCACATCTCTTCATCTGAAGTTTCATCTTCAAAATGAGCCTGATATCTCAACAATAATTATTGTTATGACTGCAAAACCAAAAAGTTGATATTATGAGATCACTCTGTAAATAAGAGAGATAGAAAGACAATTCGCGGAATATCTCAAGGTAATGAGATCATCTTCATGCCTCTGTTGTCAAAGTTGGGAAAACATTTTTTCTTCTTAAGCACCAGATTATAGCTAAAGGACTGGTCTACCGAACAGTGTGATCCGGATTCAAATTGTTCAAAACAGAAAAACGTTATTCACATTATAACAGTAAAAACATTTTGGGGTGTGACGAAATCAGTGTTGCGTAGTTTAGTTAGTTTGTTCTTCGAAATAACCAAATATAATTTTTCGTTTCCAAGGAAACAGATGGTGCGATATGTTTTCCGAAAATAAGAAAAATGTCCCTATAATGGGTGGCTTTTGATATTTCTGAAAAATTGAACACCTTTGACTATCATCCTGTAGAACCTCATTCTGAAGAGATGCAATTATCATTTCCATAGGTTTGATAGTCGATGAGACGATCAATTAAAAACTGAAGAAAAAAATTATTAAAAATCAGTAAAAAATGTTGATGAATCAAAATTGGTCGAAAAATTTCGATTTAACGTTTCAAGTGTTTACCAGTTTACCTAAAGTGAAGACAATTCAGATGATTTGCCCCTATACAGGGCTTAAAATTTTCCAAATAAAAAAATTCAGTCGATAATCAATGACACCAAGTTTGAAGAAGAAGTAGCAGCAACAGCAACATAATATACTCGACCGTAAATCACAGCATGCGATATGTCGTTTTGCCATCACGAAGGCATTAATCCGAGGGGTAAGTACATGGGGCAATCCGGTGTACAACTTGGGGGTATTGCGGGGTAATGCGAGGCAGTGTGGGGCATTGCGGGGCAATGTGAGGCATTGTCGGGCACTGCAGGGTATTAATAGGCATTGCAAGGTATTGTGAGGCATTGTTAGGCAATGCGGGGTATTGAAACAGCACTGAAAGGGCAATGTGGAGCAATGTTTGGGCTCAATTTGTTGCGCGCGCATCCGTTTCTGTTCGAGGTCACTATATTCAGTTCTATATAGTTCAAGGTGATGCCTCCGCCTCCATTTTGATTGCGCCATTCAAGCGTTTCGCATCGCGTCATGCTGTCATCAACTCCGGCTACAGCTAGCTTTGGATTGGATTGGTATTGGATTTAACCGACTATTCGAATGAAAACTACGATATAGATGGGAAAAGTCCA